ATATATATATATATACAATACGGCATTCTTACCTATACGCGCTTGTCCCGCTCAACGTACTCGCCCCAGACCACTCTTCCGCGCAGCATGATGTAGATACCGATCGCAAACACGAGCACTGCGATAAAGTAGCCGCTTCCAGCCATCCAAAACCCCTCACGAATGTCAGGGAAAGAATCTGTTGCCCACAGCAGCGTGTCGGCAATCATGTTTGATTCCCGTAGCGACACCACGAGGTCCTCCGCGATGGTCGAGTTCTTGGTGCTGTAGACTGCTGACATAACGCTCACGCTGGCGTCACGCGCGGCGGCCGCAGCCTCCGAGAGGCAGTGTTGCGCGCAGTACCCGATGGTGCATGCCGTGTCGCTTGGAGCGTCGGACGGGCCTGGCGTGCACATCGTAGGGTCCTTCACCGGCACAGTCATCGTGAGCTGCAGAAGTTGTTCCAGCGAAGTACACATCACTCTTTCAGCGCAGAAGAAGGGCGTGGCGGTTGCATACTCGGGTTGACTGCTGCAGAAAGTATTAATCCTATCGCATGCTACAGCAAGCCGCGCTGTGAAGAGACTCTCCAGCTGCGTGTCGAGATTTGCGAGGTCTGGCTGTACGTTCCTGTCAAAGTACGGTACGGCGTACCACTGCAGTACACCAGGCATACGATCGACTTGACGGTCCACTTCGCCGTTGGCGGCGCTCATGAAATACGCAGCGACGAGAAAGATGACGGCGATCAATGAAAACACAAGTCCCACGAAGAAGTAAATACACGAACAGAGTGCCGGAAATCCTCGTGTGACATGAGCGCATGAGAAGATGAGTGTAAAGAACAGCAAAGCGAACGGAAGCCAGCCAATGGCATACGATACAATGACGGCGTCATCTACGTACTTGAGGTATTTGTTGTCAACGTCATCAATGGTGTCCGTGAGGTTCGCGGCAATATCAAATATGATGGCAGTGCTGGAAACAAATGAGGGTGGAACATCGGGTGAATTTTCCAATCCGTTGGTGGCATACGCGAGCACCTCGTTTGCAGTGTCATTGTAATATTGTGCACATTTGTACTTCGCATTATAGAGAGCATCTTTCGTGCCGGTGTGAATTGTATTCGCGCCCATGATAATAGCAACAGTTGCCCCAGCGCCCCACAGGATTGCTATGAACGCCGCGGCGTACAGGCAGCATGGCCCGTTATAGTGCTGTGCTGGGCTGGTGGGGAAACAGCAGGTGCGACAGCAGCATCCATTGGTGATGCAGATACAGAAAACAATGGGAAACAATGCCAGAAGCAAAACAAAGAAAAGGGCCGCGAATCCCGGATAAACGTAGTACCGCCAGTGACTTCCAATGCGTTGTTTATCCTTTAGGCAGTCCCACAAGTTATTGCCAGCGCTGGCCTGTTTCCACACTGTTTCACAGCCTAACGTGAGGGCCTGTACGTGCGGCACGATATATGTAAGCGCTAGGAGGCACACGCAGCCAATGAAGACCCGCACCCTACTACTTCGTGAGCGATTCATTTATCTGTCGTACCGCAATGCGTCGTTTGTCGAACCCTCTCCTTTGCTCCTGCCTGTTCTTTCCAGCAGACTTGTCTTTTTTCTATTGTGTTTTTTTTTTCCTTCTTCCGTCTCTTTGCTTGGCTTCTGCTATCTCTTCCGTGCGGCTCTCTCTCGCTCTATGCGTGTGCCCGTGTGAGCGCAACTCCGCAGCCGACTTGCTGTTTGCCCTTCAGTTCTATAGTCTGCACAACACACAGACGCAGAGATGTATCGAGTAGACAAAAGGAAAAGTAAGTGTGTTACGAATACATCACCCGCCTCCTGCTGGGCGAAACATAAAGGAAAAAAAAAACACGCAACAACAGCAGCGTTGATCTCACCTGTCTGTGTCTCGGTGTGTGTGTGTGTGTGTGAGGGGGGGTGCCTTTCCCCTCCTCCGCTCTCTTCATTCCACCACCCTTCCCCATATATATATATATATATATATATATTCCACCTCACGTGGTGATGCGTACATACACAGGGTGAAAGAACAACAAGGGAGAGCAGCAGTGACAACATATGAAAACGCATCCGCGTGTTTTTCTTCGTCCACTCACTCCCTTTTTTTTTCGTTTCTGTCCTTCTCTCTACATAACCGCTAACCAACGCCATGCCGCATGCAAGGGCGGCTCCCCTTCCGAGACCAATGAAGAATTATTGCAGTACCTTCGATGCAAAGTGAGCAGCACGGCCGCAGCCAACTCCCGCAACCGCCGGGGGTTCTCCGTCGGTGAGATGCGGCACACGTCTCGTCTACGTGTTTCTTCTGATGTCGTGGTTGCCGTCAATGATGCATCGGCTGACCTTTCAGTGCCATCCGCCACCTTCTGTTCCTGTAGCGGAGTGTCGTCAGAGAGGCATTTTTGCAGCTGCTGCTTCAATACACGCAGCACAGATATCCAGAATGCCTTCACGTGCATCTCCATCTGTTTCTCCTCCTCGTTTTGTCCATCGACCACTTGCTCGTCACTTCTATCGTGTGCCCCAGCTGCTTTTTCACTCGCCGAAGCATCGGCAGCAGCAGCAGCTGTGGTATCCGAATTCTCCACTCCCTTGCCACCAGAATTTTCCCCTGCATTGGCACTTGTGACATCCGCGCGGCCGTACGTCGCCACGAGACTTCTGAGCGTGACGCTAAATGCCGCCTCGTTGTCTTCATCCGTCTTATTTCCAACTGAAGGGGGCGTCTCGTTGCTGCACTTCTCCGTTGGCGCTGTTACTTCACCACCATTGGCTACGCCAATGGCACGAAGGTTCTGTAGCAGCCTTTGGCGTAGCATTTCGCGCCGCTGAGGACTCAGCAATGCGGCCAAAATGACCGAAAAGACCTGGGATGTTGTCAACATCTCCTCAAACATGAGTGTGGCCTGCACAACACTGAATGTGTCCCACGACTGATTAAGTGGGGCAACGATGTAAGCCGGCTCCACGCGACCCAGCAGAACACGCAGAGAGGAGACATTCTTATCTGAGGTCCCTTCAGGTCCAGATATTCGCCCCGTACCTTCAGCCGGCTGTACATCAGAGACCAAATGCTCTTCTTTATACATATCTGTGGCCGTGTGACGGCTCTGTGGCCTGCTATGCGCGTGAGGCTGTGTACCCACCATGGGGTCGGGCATACGTAGCGGCGTAGCCTCATGCGGGCGCAGCAGAAAATCAATCTGCTCCACTGGAAACAAGAAAAGACCGCGCAACCACACAGCAGCAACATTGCGCTGCTCATCAGGGAGAAGCCGCCTGCCAACAATTTGGAGGGCAAGTTGACGCTGCAGCAACGGCGCTTCAGAGAACATGAGCAGACACGTCACCGTCACCTCCTCAAGATGGCTAAAATCGAGTTTCTCCTTGACGACAGATGCCACAGCCGACGCCGGTGTCGAGGTGGAAGACGTCGTGTTATTCTCGATCTCTTCAGAGCAATCTGCAATTAAATACAACGCTTTGCGCAACGCAATAGTCAGTAACTCCAACAAAAGAACACGGCACTCCCACGCTTCAGCGGCACGATGCAAAAAACCACTAGACGCGCCTCGTTCCTTCACGTCGTTCACAACAAGAACAAGAGGATCAATCGCCAAGTCCCACCGATCCCACGCGAGAATTTGCAGCAACATTGCCAATCCAATGCAACGTTCCTGTAGGGAAGGCGATCCAAGACACAAATAAACGCCGCTGGCGCACAGCTCCACAGGTGACGATAACGAGCCTTCTGTCAAAGGCACCCTCACAGACACAGCATCCTTTTCCTTGTTGCAAGTTTCATAGTTGTTACCCAAAACTGCTCGCGTGTGGCAGAGCACGTGGTACAGAAAAAGGTTGTATTGAGAGCGCTGCAGAACAGGACTGATCGAGGCTGCTGGCCCGCACTGAGAAAAGGCCCTCTTGAGTGGCCCTGCTAGGAGTGTTGTTAACTTATGGGTAGAATTCCACTCCTGTCCCACCGGTTGCTGACGCGGTCCGTTTTCCTCACCTTGGGTTGATGTTGGCTCTGCGCCCTCTGCAAGGGAACCGTCACCGCAAACATGCGCCACCACTACCCGAGCCACCGCCTCCAGAATCGTCGTACTTGACAATGGGAACAATCGAGTGACAGCAGGAATAAATTGCTCTATTAGCAATGTGAACGCCACTTCCTTTGACTTGGCGTGGACAGCCTTACCAACACTATACAACAGGCAAAAAGCCGACGCCAAGTTGAAGACCCGCACATTAGAGAAGACTGCCTGCTGAGGCTTATCAGAGTCCTCCGAGGCTGACAAAAGTGCATCACCCCCAGTCATAGCCCTTTGAGTCCGGTTACCATCACGCAAAACTCCTGATGTCGTCGCTGATGTCACCGTCGCCGCCAGATCTGACTTCTCCTCGGGTGCACTATAGTCCTCCGGTGAGCTAGAGACGTGCAGCAGTCGAATGTGCACCACCTCCGCGCCGAAGATGAAGTTCAGCGCCCGTAGGAGGTACATATATTCCGTGGGGCGGGTAACAAGAGCCGATGCAATACCATCACTGGCACGTAACAAAGTAGTCCAACAAGCCACAACAGCCGCAAAGGGCAATTGTTCCCGTTGACCAACAAATGTGCACATCACATCCCCGAGAGCATCCTCACCGCCTAATAGCTCCAGGACATCAGAGAAGCCGTTGGTCTGTAACGTCATGCCAAGCAGCTTCGACAACCCAATACGCAGATTGTTGCCGCACGTCTCCAGCACCTCCCTTGCGCATGACTCTGGTGTCTTATCATCGTGGTCTCCTCCGCCGTCAATGCCAACACCGTCCCGCGAGCGCAAGGCGCTGAGGAGCTGCTTGTTCATTACATTCACATCCACCTGGAACACTTTGTCGATCGCCACATGATGATCCCTACAGGTCCCTTTTCTGTTTGCTGCTTCTTTCCCTTTGGGTTTCTCAGCAAGTACACGACGCTGGTGACTCAAAGCTGCGAAGCGTTGTGGTTCGGCATATCGGTATGCCTTCTGGAGCATTTCGTGCTCATTGAGCAGCTTCTCGTTACGTCTCAGCGTCCGCAACTCGTCCGGTGGAACAGCGGCTGTCAGCTGAGCATTTCGTGTTTCACGATTGGCCACATGCAGCAGTGCCGCTGCCGTTGGCCGTGCGAAACCAGGCTTCCGTAGCCCTTTGCCAAGAGCAATTTCATCATTTTCCATCGTTCGCAGTGGTAGTGGCTCATTCCCTTGTGGCACCACGGCGTCCGAGCCTTCCTTCTCAGCCCACGCCGCGTCCATCACATCGACGAGTGCTGTCGTGGTCTCGTTGTTGTTTTTAGTCCGTGGCGGTACTGCGCGGCCATAGAAAAATTCATACAGAATATCTAACACCGCTGACGCTACACCCGGCTTCCCTTGCACTGTCGCCTCCGCCATTTCAGCAGTCACAGTCTCACACTCGATTCGTTTCAGATCACGCAAAAGCATCTTCCAATTGCGCCGCTTGCACTCGGTGGAGCAGCCAGGCACGTAGCTGTGCATAGCGACGCGCCGGTCGTAGCGACTGGCAATTTCCGCCAGCGTGAAGCCGTTAGAGAGGTCCTGCTGCGGGTGACGGACTTGGTACGTCAGGTCAAGCGACTGGAGCCATTTAATCACTTCCCGCTGCATGACGCTCGCTACTGTTACCAACGAATACTCTAGTCACTATACTTCTCTTGTTTTTCACGCTTGCAGTTAATCCTTCTTGTTCTTTTTCTCTCGGTATTCTGTAGCCTGTGTAAAGCTTAAACAGGTTGCTGTCCACACCGCCTCGAGGGACTTTTGTTCTGTTCAATACCTCCTGTTCTGGTTAATGCACACAAGGAAAGGCAATAAAAATACAAAATATATAGGGAGAAAGGCACATCACAAACCCAACATGATCAGAAGAACCCTCGTCAGATAAGCAGATACCAATATATATATATATATATATTATAGATAGATAGATAATGTTTGCACAGTGTGATTGCTTCTCGTTTTTTTTGTTTGATTTTCTGCTTGCTTCAGAATCGTGCTCCACACCCCCAGCCCCTCCCTCTCTCCGAGAAACACTTTAATCACCTGCACGCAACTGCAGACAAGTTCCCCCTGTAATTGAACCACACTTGATGTGTAAAGAGACGATGGGCGGGTCCCGCAGATTAATGTGACGCGTCACTGCTAGGAGCTGGCAGAGGAATGCCCCAGTTCCGCAGCTGCTTCTGGTATGTAGGAACACCGTCCACCCAGTCAGTGAAGAGCTCCACTCCATCATTCGTGACGACCATTGTGTGTTCAAACTGAGCGCTCCTCTTTCCGTCCCTCGTTGTGCTCGTCCACTTATCTGGCCATGTCACATCCTGCCAGGTGCCCAAGTTGATCATGGGCTCAATCGTGAACACGTGACCAGGCCTCATCATCCCAAGGCTCTTGTTATTTGCGTAGTGGCACACGGTTGGGGAAGTGTGGAAAAGGTGTCCAACCCCATGGCCAGTGTACGTGCGCACAACAGAGCAATTGTACTGATTGGCGCAGGCCTCAATAGCATCACCTACCTGTTTGTAGAGTGCATCTGGCTTGACAACAGCGATACCAGCGCGCAGGCACTCATATGCCGCATGCACGACACGCATGCTATCGGCGTCAGGTTTTCCCACAAATATGGTCTCGTTCAAATCGCCGTGAAACCCGTCGAAATAACTCGACACGTCGAGATTTACGATATCACCATCCACCAACTCGCGCGAGTCGGGGATGCCGTGACAAATCACCTCGTTCACCGAAGTACAGACAGATTTGGGGAAGTTGTAGTAATTTAGCGGCGACGGGTACATGTTACGCTCAATTGTGGCCTCGTGAACAATGCGGTCAATCTCATCTGTCGTCACACCTGGACGAACAGCTGCCGTTGCAATATCAAGTACCTCTCGCGAGAGACGGCACACCGTCTTCACCCGCTGGATCTCCGTTGTCGTCTTGCTGTCGTCATGAAGACTCTGAATGTTGTATGCCTTCACCTTGTTACCGCGGTCCTTCTCTTCAGAGGGTGACACTCCGTCTGCGCGTTCTGCGTAGTCCGGTCGTGCAATGTGCGCTGGCACAGCACGGCGCGGCGTTATCTTACCAGGACGAAGCGCTCCAGTAAAATTGAAGGCGTTCATCGCCGCTGTTGTCATGGTGGGAATTGTTGCCTCTGCAGTTTGTGTGTGTTTCAGCTTATGTTCAGCCCAGTGCTCCTTGAAGCATGTCTGCGTGCAGAAGAAGCTTGGCGGAAGGTCCAGTTTCTTGCATGTGGGGCACTGCATAGCGGCCTCCAACAGACCGCAACCCTCACAAGGCATATTCCTGTTCTTCTATTTGTGCCTTATTCGTTCCTTCTTTATAATACAATATAATATAATATATATATATATGATTATGTTGAAAGACGTTAGTCGCTACTTTACCTTATTTGTTGTGATAGTGTAGTGGCTTGGGAACCGGCCTTGACTTCCTTGCAGAGGCGGCGCTCAACACGAGAAACACCTGAACACGGAAGCACCCCTACAAAAAGCGACAGCAGTCGTCACCGCCACCCACACAAAAGGAAAAAAAAAAAA